TTTAAACCTATGGAAAAGGATCGATAAACAGGGTGTTCGCAGCGAACACCTTAATAATTGATTCTTTACAATAGGTTCAAATGGCATAACAACCTATATATCGCAATTCACGCCACGCCACTGATCAGGAACTACTATTTTCAGCTCATTTTACAAAAAACATACGTGCCATTGGTTTTTCCGTGCTGATAGCCTCTTTTTAGTGGCGAGATGCGTGAGTGGTCGACTATTGATATTTCCCCACCTGAAGCTATGGTGAAGAATCGATTAAGAAGGTTTTCGTTCCAAACACCCTGTCCATCGATTATTTTCCATAAGTTTAAATGGCAGATAAATCAATGTATCGCAAAGCACTGAACGCCACCGCCTCTTTTACTACTGAGTCAGGAATATTTGTTTCTTATCGCAGGATTGGATGCAGTCCAGTTGATATTACCACCTACTGTGTAAGAAAAATTTGTCTGCGATACTCGTAATTTGAGAAATGGAGATGTTGCATGTGTGAGAAATTTGCGATTTGACTGTTGATTCTTCTGTAAAAGTTCGCGAGAAACCCGATGGTGCTACTGGTTTTCTCTGAAATCAACTCCCAAGCTCTAAAAAAGCTCTCAAAGTTGAGGCCAAAACGGAGGGGATATCCCACGCTATCCTGAGAGTCCACCTCTACATCAAGGCAAACTCTTCATGCGCAGATAGGGAGCAAATACATTGACAGGGCTGCCACTTTATTTGGGGACTCCAAAACTGAAAACACGGCAACCCTGTCAATGTATTGGCTCCCTATCTTTGCATGGAGAGATTGTCTTGAGGTAGAGGTGGACTCTCAGGATAGCGTGGGATGTCACCTCCATTTTGACCTCAACTTGAGAGCTTTTTTTGAGCATGGGAGTTAATTTCAGAGAAAACCAGTGGCACCACGTGTTTCTCGCAAACTTTTATATAAGAATCGATTGTCAAATCGCAGATTCCTCACACATGCAAAATCTCAATTTGCGAAATTCCCGATCTAATCTTGATCGTTGGTTCATTGCACGCCTCTTCCGCACATGCGTGTTTTCCCAACTTGTCTTAGGATTAAACTCAAAGTACATTTTCTCGGGTACGAAGATGGTTCCTTCCGTAGAAATAAATAGCGTTCGAGAGTGGTATAGTGGCTAAGTGGGTAACTGTTGTAGGAAACACCCCACTTGTTGGACAAAAGCACCCTCGCCTTGTATCCAGGGTGGATCAGGGGTGCCGATGCTCAACACCCTTAATTACGAGTGTCAGGAATGCGGAGGCTGCGAGGGTGGTGTACTGCACGCTGCACAGTATCTCCCTCTCTTTTCTACCATGCTCGGAAAAATCGCAGTATGAGAATTCGCCATTGCCAAATTTATCCCCAAAAAGTACGATTTTTCCAGAAAACTTGTCTATATTTTTCTGATTATTTTTTAAACGGGCTGATAATTGATATTGATGATAGATGCAGCGATTCAAAACGGTGAGAAAAAGGGAAAATAGAACGATCCCATTGGTTGAAACAGGTTGTTGTTTTAGGTTAGATGGGAAAGCTGCAAAGTCTCTCGTGGTTAACCGTTAGTTAGTCTTTTTACTTACCCCCTCCGTCGATTGCAACCACCCGCTTCCGCCAATAGAATCGTTCAATTTTAGTTTTGCCTTCTTTGTCCGTCTACTTGAATAATCAGCCCGCAGGAATTGTATTCGAAAATTGCGAGGGCTAATTTGAAGGAAAATTATTCTTAACTTTGGGACTGTTCAAGTATTACGTAAACTACTTATGGGGGTAGGGGGCCTGAGCTTGCCTCAGGGGATTTTAAAGGGAAAGAAGGAGTAAAGCGCAGTCTTCCTTTTTTTAATTATAATATATATATATATCCCAAGAAAAATATTATATCGTCACCTTCCGGCCAAAGTATCACAAGCGCCATGCGACGTTTTAAAATTTCCACCGTCATTTTATTTGTTTACAGAGAAATCGTTCAACGAAGCTGTCCGAAAATTTCACTGAATTTTCTTTGCACTGCCGATAAAATTCAGTGAAATTTTCAAATAGATTCAACCAAAAATTTCTCTGTAAAAAAATAAAATCGCGGCGGAAATTTTGAAACGTCGCATGGCGCTTGTGATACTTTGGCCGGAAGGTGACGATTTCTTGTTTTTTCCAGACTCTCTGTGTAATTTTCTGAATATTGGGCAGGGGGGCGGTCAAGTGAAGGCAGTCTCATGTAAGTCTACAAAGGGGGTAGGAGATTTCTAATGGACCACTAGACAAGGTACGAATTTCAGCATTCTGAAACATGTTTCTTAACCAAAATTTCACGTAAAACACGATGCGCACAACAAAAATTACCAAAATTAACTCCTCACGAAGGTATTAAATGATTCCTGATACGTGAATTCAAAGCACCCGCTCATGAAAACTCAATGCTCTACGTAATTCACATTGCGCGCTAAACTTTATCATGACAGTCTTTGCGATATAAAAATCTGGCAACCTCAATCTTGACGCTGTGACTCAGCTATAGCAAATTGCTTATAGTTTGAACAACACATGGTGGGAAATGAACATTGCTCGATTGAGAAGCTTGCTGAAACCGTTGTAGTGCGCAATTTAACTCACGTAGAGCTTTGAATTTCTTGTGAGCGGGCAGTTCAAATTCCTCGAAACCAATGTGAAATAAAAACGTTAATATCTTCGTTAGGAGTTGGTTTCAGTAATTTCCGTTGTGTAATTCGTGTTTTCCGTGAAATTTTGGTTAAGAAACGTGGATCAGATTGCTTAAATTCGTACCTTGTCTGGTGGTCCATTACGGGGAGAGGATGGGTCAAAAAGTTAGGCCCAAAAATGCGAAATTTATGTGAGGGGAAATTTGGCAAGATCCGGACACTAAGACGACGTTCTTACTTAGCACAGCAGAGTTGGATTCTCCCTCAGTGACGCAGCGGAATCCTCTGGTGAAGGGGGCGGGGGCCCTCTGCTTACTCCGTCCTCCCGTCCTATTGTAAGAAGCGCGTCTATTCCAATGGGAACTTTATGCAGTTACGCGGTTTTGCTGATCCGCGCAGTCAGCGTTGTGATGCGGAAAATCGCCGAAAATGATGTAAGAATGAAGTGGTGGATAACAGATCAGCTCACACGTATCGTTCTAATACTTCTAATAAAACACTTTCTTTTTACCTGTTCGCGGCTTTTTCGTTGAGTTTGGACGGAGTCCAAAGTTTCGTTGAGTTCCGTCCAAACTCAACGAAAAAGCTGCGAACAGGTAAAAGGAGAGTGTCTCATTAGAAGTATTTGAACGATACGTGTGAGCTGATCTGTTATCCGCCACTTCATTCTTACATCATTTTCAGCGATTTTCCGGCGATGGTTCGAATTTTTCAAATTTGTGAATGTAGAGCTCTATCCTTAATTATCAGCTTTCAGGAAAGTTCAAGAAAGCCTTTCCCGGACGCGCGGGGGGCTAGTTATCACCAAAATCCGGTTTTTAATTGAGCAGACATCGTATTTGATAAATATTTATCTCCCATACATAAAGGAACGTAACAAGATTCCAACGTTGCAAACTTTACTCTCCCAATTTTTTTATCTTATTCGTGAAGTTTTTTTTTTTTTTTTTTTTTTTTTTTTTTTTTTTTTTTTTTTTTTTNTTTTTTTTTTTTTTTTTTTTTTTTTTTTTTTTTTTTTTTGACAATAATTCTACAGATTTTTCCACGGATTACTGTCATAAATCAGCAAAACTTGTTACCGAGATTGCGCAGTCAATTCTATGAGATGAAAAGACTTGGGTGAGAAGATTTCGCAACCTTGGAATGGAGACATGTTCCTTGATCTTGACGACGACGAACTTTCTGCATGCACTGGCACAGTATGTTTCTTTGTTTGCTTGATTTTATAATAATCTTCTTAAAAAAAGTGTTTTCAATGGAGAATTTGCAGGTGTCTTAAATTTTGTGAATTTCATCTTTAAAATAAAACTGTTAGGAAAACTGAGTACGAGGATATCCTTGGTTTCTAAATTGAACAATTTTTGGAGAAAATATGACAAAATAACCTAATCTGGTAAAATACATGTGTTTAAATGGGTAATGCCGCTAGACGACGTCATAAGGCGGCACATGTTCTCACTTAAAAATCGATTTTTCTCCAATTTTCCATGCCAGAAAAAAATTATAAAAAATACTGCGAAATCAGCTTTCAGATGAAGCACTAAAAAAATTGCATGCAAATTCTCCATTATAAAACCTCCTCGAAAAAAACAAATGCATTGTTTTGAATTCATGCGTATCATTCCTCGTCGTTTAACACATTTATCGGTTTCAACTTAAACGTAACGTACGTCTAGTCCAAAGACATAAAGACGGAGTGCTCGTATCTAAAAGCACGGGAAAAAAGTGAAGCCTGGTTTGGCGCTGGGTGCTTGTGTGAGTGTGTAAATGAGCGCGGGAATCCATGGCGGCAAACGGAAATTTGATTTGAACTTGTCCTCTTGATTTTTCCTTATTTCTTCTTCTAAACGTGTTTTAAATGCCTAAAACGATTATATTAAGAAAGTTCGGTCTGCGTCCTAATATAGTACACCTACTTTTGCTCGGTAACAGGCAGTAATCTCAGATAAAGTTAGTTTTTCTTCTGCTCATGGTGGTTCTGCAGGTTCAAACAGGCCGTTACAGTGCTAGATGACCGTTACTCCCAAATGAGATTAATCGGTCGACGACGGACCAAAACTAACCTAAAGTTAAAAAAATATGAGTGGGTAAGTGAATCTGGGCAAAAATCAACCTAGAATACTTTTTTTCCGCAATTTTATTTAGTTCCCGCCCTACATTTCAATTTCAAACTTGTCCCCATTTCCCCGCCAATCCTCTAGCCAATAGTAGAGGTGGTTGAAAAGAAGCTTCATTTTTTGCTTTTAGCCCTCCGTCTTTATGTCTTTGGTCTAGTCCAAAAGCATGATATGTTCTTTAAATGAGAGGAAATTTTTTTTATTTAATTTCAGGCTCGGCGCCCGTCACTAAGGAGACAACTGTCAAGATAGAATCAAATGAGCCGAGAACGACCGTTGATGTCGTTGATGCTGCAACAGGTAAGACACAATCTTAATTGTTATTCTCTCTCACGAGACTGATCAACAAAGGAAACACCAATTTCACCACTCTTAATATCCAACCGTCTCGACGAGGCGGGCGTAGCGTGAGCAGGGCTCCTGTTGTTGACAGCCCGCTAAAAACCCCTTCAAAGCGTCTGAATACCATTGCTGATACACTTTGAACGAGCATCGGTGACTCGGGAAGTCGGGAACTCGGAACAACGGAGCGCGGCGAGAATGTAGGTCAGACGATTGGGGAGGCGTGTTGGGGCGCATTTTCCTCGCAAAGTGAGGGGTGGGGGTGGAAAGATTATATGATCCAGCTCCATTAGCTCCACGAGACTCCACGTTTGAAGGTCTCAATCGCACTCCAGTTCGCAGAGATTTTTCGCCAGATACTCTACAGGTTTGCCGTGCCCGATTTTTTATGCTCGAGCTTTCCCGGCCCCTTCACATACTCTTGAACCTACTTAAATTCAGCCGTGCTAAGGAAAAACGCCGTATGAACTTTCAGGCGTCGCCAAATTTTCTTTGAAAAAACACTAATTCCCTGGTAAACTTAAGAATATTTTTCTTCCAATTTTACACAGAATTTTGTTCGTATTTTGATTTAAATTTCCTAAAAATAGCAAGGGAGAATATTAATATTTTCCCTCAAAAATAAACATTTCATCAAAGGAAATTTGGCAACTCGAATGTCCATACGGCGTTCTTCCTTAGCACGGCAGAATTGTCGAATTCTGTTTTGTCAGTCAAAAAAGAACGCAAATGAATTAAGTCGTGGTCGAATGCATACTGTCGGAGTTTCGGATAATGAGAACTTGCTGGTCAAAGATTTAATTTTTATTCCTAAAAATTACTAATAATCGATTATATTATACAAAGTCTCGTCTTGGTAAATATCGTACTGAATGCATCTGATATAATTTGGCTTCACATTTAAATTGACGTCATCGTCGATTCGTTCACGGACAATGTTGTATCCGAGGTATATCGAGCAACCTGAACAGCATCAGCCATGCGTGTCGTATATTCCCTCGAAATGAAGGCGTTTTTAGTCTCGTTGCTTTCTTCTCTCTGAGCTAGCCTCGGGCCTCACGAAACTTTGCGCCTAACAAACTGAGACCGTCTTATTCAAACTAAATACCTCTTTTCGGGACCCGATTGACGAAACAAATTATTTTCTCTGTCAGCACATTAAATGATCTTAACACGTCAATATAATGACCGTAGTCCAATGGTTTTCTAGAACATATCAAACGTGTTTAATAAACTTTTAAACGTATTTGTTAAACGTATTTTTTTTTCTTGACAGCAAACTTATTTGAGTGGTCGGAATAAATTTTCAGGGAATAATATGCTCCCTCGGTATCGTAAAAATAGTTGCCCTGGTGTTCAGAGTCATAACTGTGCAGCTTTAGAAACGATTATTATTGTTGATGTCATATAATCGGTTTTCAAAAAAGTTTAAGTTAAACAAATAATTTGTGATTATTAATGAATTGGTTCAAAGATAGACGTCCTACGGATGGCGTGCGGTAGATAAGAGACTGTAAAATACATAGTCCACCGTATAGTAAAAGCTAACTCGTGTTTAAATATCTATAAATATCTAAATTGGAGACGCGATACAACTATTCGCGCAAGATGGATGTCCACATTGTATATGAAGAATTTAAGACGCGATGGCGTGAGTCGTGAACTCGCAATGCTCTGCTCTATGCTACTAGTTTGAAGCACCATTACGAAGACAAATGCAAACGAATACAATCTGGAAATGAAGCGAGGGAACGGATGCGCGTTTACGACGGCGCAGAGATACAACTATTCGTACTTGATGGACGTCCGTGCTGCGTCTGAAAAATTGAAGGCGCGATGACGCGCAGCGTGCGCTCTCAATGCTCTGCTACATGCTGTCAATGAGGTGTCGCTCAGATTCGGGAGAAAAATTAAAAAAGAGGCCCGAACACATCTCTCCTACGTTTGGCTGTGTTACTCACGTAGTGCTTGAAGCACCATTACGAGTAAGACAAACGCAAACGAACACAATATTGAAATGAAGCGAGAGAAAGGATGCGCGTTTACGACGGCGCGAGGATACGAGACACGAACCCCAACCCCTCCGCTCCTAGTTTGGCTCAATGTTAAAAAACAAGATGACGATAAAGTTCTACAAAGTTCTAGACGTGATTTTAGATGCGATAGACATTTTTGAATGATCAACTTCTGACTTGAGTTCGGATCGACCTTTAATGGATATTTTTGCCGAAAATGAACCCTTGAGTGTGTTAATTATTAATTTCTCAGCCGATAAATTTTGAGACTTTTTAGACCAAATTACGAACGAAATCCTCTTTAAAATTGGAAGATAAATGTTCATAAGTTTTCCGAAAATTCACGATTTGTAGAAGGAGATTTTGCAACATCTGAGGCTCATACGGCGTTTTCCCTCAGCACGACAGTAATCTTGTCTTATCTTATTGTATAACTTACGAGTCTGCGATTTGGAGGTATAAACCCGAAATATATATCTTAAATTCAAGTATTATTGACAGAGGCCATCGAGTTTGTTCTAGAATTCTAATTATATACCTTTTTTTGAAAGTCATTAAAAATTTCGGGTTTGTTTACATTGGTCCAACTTTGGAGCTCCATGATAACCTAAAACTGATGAACCAATCAGAGAGCGGCACAGAGAAGGCAATTCTCTCCCGTAAACGGTTACTCTCTCGGCTATGACGGGAGTTTGGCTACGACGTTATCACCGCGCAGCGCGGCGGTGGCGAGAAGGCGTAGTGGGCGCGCGGCGCGACAGATAGCGCTGGCTGTACGTCGGGGACCCGGGCCCAGGCGATAGGGGCGTGAAAACCTGGAAGCTCAGTTGTGTTCTCTCCCCGCTGCGCGTCGTCGGCCCGGAGAAGTGTCCGCACCGCTCGAGTTGCCCGAACGAATGCTTGTCCGTTCCTTTAATTCCAGTGGATATTTTTGTGCGAGCCGAGGAGCATCACCGTCGCCGAAGTTCCGGTAAGTCCCAGTCATGTTTTTCCGGGCCGGGAAGCCGGGGAAACCTGTGGCCGCCGCGGACCCGGGCTGCCGGGTCGCGGGCCCGCTCAGCTGGTATTGATTCGCCCGATACCCGTCTTTATCTATCTTTTCCGATGATTTAATCCGCTCCGGATCGCCCGTCTGGTGGCCCGTTCCGAGCCTCAGGAACTGTCACGGACGGCGGACGCGCTGGGCCCGGGGAGCTCTTTATCGATTCGACAGGTTCGTTTTGCGTCACCCGCTCCTCCAGCAACTTTGATTAACGTATCACCGTCTTGAGACGCGTTTCATTTCTGTCCGGAAATTAATTTGCATTTTGCCAAAAGGTACCAGAAGCATTGCAATGGTGCTAAGATTGTGCGAATTCATCCTTCGCAGTAAAATAACTGAAATAATGACGAAATATGAGATTTACATGGTAATTTTTATTTTAGATTAACAGTTTACAGCGAGTAAAATAGGAACTGTTAATGGATAATCAGGTTTTTCCCAAGACAAAAGAAGTTGTACAATCTTAGCAACATTGCTATGCTCGTGGTTCCTTTTTGCGAAGTGCAATCCAATTAGTCTTGCCGCTTAGAAACCCTTTTCAAAGGTGTATCCCTAGCTGTTCCTTACGCTGATTCTTTCCACGAACGGCCGCGTATGGTTCACGAGGGAGATCTTAGGATCTCCATAACATTCGCACCTCATGAATGACAATTTGCGAATGTTGAGTGTGACTCAACAGCACAACCTTAGAAGAAATAAATTCGCGAAAGGATTTGCAATCATTTGCCACTCAAAAAATAACAGAAATTCAAAGATCTAACGTCAGGGATTTTGCGAGTATGAAGATGGGCCCAGACCCTCAGAAGTGTGTAAAAACTGTGGATTTTTTCTTTCATATCTTGTATTTTTTGCACCGACGAATCTATTATCCCTTGCAATATTCCATTTCCAAAGTCATACGCTTGAATTTTACTGCAGGCTCGGAAAAGTTGGAACTAGGTTGAGTGCTCTCTTGATCTTCCCTTAATCACGCTGTAAACACCATATGGGACAGACCTACATGGCCCTTAGTTCTGCTGTTTTGACCGTACTTGCTTATAGCTGCATTCTTCAGGGAGGCCCCATATGCTTGACAGTATACGACACGGGAAACTCTTTCTGAAAATTTTTGAAGTCTTTGTCGCATTTTACGTGAAATTTTGACGAGATGTCATATGCTGTAGTGCTTAATTTCTTGCGTTGCACATTATGGCCATTTAAGTTGAATTGTTTTTTTATTAGAAAATCTAGTAAGACCTCCTTTTCTCCATTTAAACCTATGGAAATGTATCGACTCTTGAAGAGACCAAGTGCTCCGACAGGAATCGATTATTTAGCACAGGAGAAAATCCGGTGTTGCCGAATTGCTGGATCCGCCTCTGACCTCGAGTAAAATTCAGTGATGTAATCTTCGGAAAAGAACCTTAATGAAGCTCTTGCATGTGTGAGGGATTTGAGATTTTAGTACTGACTCTAACGTAGAATTTCGCGCAAAATACGATGGCGCCGCCGGGTTTCTCTGGAACGAACTCCAAAGCTCGAAAAAAGCTCTTAAATTGAGTCTGTAATGAAGGGAATACTACACCTCTATACTGCCGTGCTAAGGAAGAACGCCGTATGAACAGTCGAGAGTTGCCAAATTTCCTGCGATAAAACGTTTATTTTTTAGGCATTATGAATATTTTTCCTTGACATTTTCATGAAGTTCCGGTGAAATTGCGAACAAAATTATCTGAAAAATTGGAAGAAAATTATTCATATGTTTACCAAGAAATTCGTGTTTTATCAAAGGATATTTGGCAACGCCTGAAGGTTCATATGGCGTTTTTCCTCAGCACGGTAGTATATAAGGACAAACTCTCTCTGCAAAAATAGGGAGCAAGTACAATAGCAGGGTTGCCGCTTTGTTTGTTTGGGAACGC